AAAAAAAAAGAAAACACTCTCTCTTCCTACCGCCCAAGATACCGAAAGGAAAGAAAGCCGAGGGGAAGAAGGTGGCTCCGGCCCCTGCTGTCGTGAAGCAGCAGGAGGCCAAGAAAGTGGTGAATCCACTATCTGAGAAAAGGCCTAAAAATGTTGGCATTGGACAGGACATCCAGCCCAAAAGAGACCTCACCCGCTTTGTGAAATGGCCCCGCTGTATCAGGTTGCAGCGGCAGAGAGCCATCCTCTATAAGCGGCGGAAAGTGCCCCCTGCAATTAATCAGTTCACCCAGGCCCTGGACCGCCAAACGCTACTCAGCTGCTTAAGCCGGCCCACAAGTACAGACCAGAGACGAAGCAAGAGAAGAAGCAGAGGCTGTTGGCCCGGGCCGAGAAGAAAGCGGCTGGCAAAGGGGACGTCCCCACGAAGAGACCACCTGTCCTCCGAGCAGGAGTCAACACCGTCACCACCTTGGTGGAAAAGAAGAAAGCGCAGCTGGTGGTGACTGCTCATGATGTGGATCCCATTGAGCTGGTTGTCTTCTTGCCTGCCCTCTGTCGTAAAATGGGAGTCCCTTACTGCATCATCAAGGGGAAGGCAAGACTGGGACGTCTAGTCCATAGGAAGACCTGCACCACCGTCGCCTTCACACACATTAATCCGGAAGACAAAGGTGCTTTGGCTAAGCAGGTGGAAGCTATCTGCACCAATCACAATGACAGATAGGAGATCCGGCGTCACTGGGGAGGCAATGTCCTGGGTCCCAAGTCTGTGGCTTGCATCGCCAAGCTAGAAAAGGCAAAGGCTGAAGAACTTGCCATGAAACTGGGTTAACTGTATACTGTTTTCTTTAAATAAAAATAATTAATGCAAAAAAAAAAAGCCTAAAACGGGAAAAAGCATGATAATCTCAAAAGATACAGAAAAAGCATTTGACAGAATCTAACACCCATTCATCCAATTCAAAACAAAAGGCCAAAAATAGGGAACGCCCTTAACCCAATGAAGGGCACCTGTGAGAAATCCACAGCTAAGTCAGAGACTGAATGCTTTCCCCCTAAGGCACAAGGCAAGCGTGTCTGTTTTCAGCACCTTTTTCCCCACCATTTTTTCTTTTGAAATAAGATTTTGAACCACATAGAAGTTGCAAAAATACAGTAGGTGCTGTGAAAGGCAAACGAAAACCCCAATTCACTTTGCCAAAAGGGGGGAAGAAAAGGAAGCTGAGAGCGGAGCCATGCCTTGGCTTTTGTTCCGAAGCAGGTCGTGACAGAGGAAAGGTTAAGACCTCCGCAGGTGGCTTCTGTGCTCACCTTATCTTACGTGAAGTGCCCGTTTACTGAGCGCCAGAGAATACATGATTGACCGTTCCCCTCTGCTCCTCTTCTCTTGCCTGTGTAGTCAGTACTGGGACCAGACCCTCCTTCATTCTCCTCCAGCCTGCTTTTCCCCTTTAAACATGGAAGCCCTCAAAGTCGTCTTTGGAGAAAGACCACAGACGGGTTCAGTGGCTCCCCATTTTGTCGTGTTTCATTTTGCCTCCCTGGCCTTGCCCTTAACCTTGGCAAATTAATGGATTCAGAACTGTCTCAGACACCTTGGTTTCCATCCCCCTTATCTGTGGGAGATGCCTGAAACCAGATAGCATGGAAAGTCCTGCTCTACTTTCACGCCTATGACAACGCTTAATTGATGAAGCAGGCACAGTAAGAGAGGAACAGTTACAACAACAGTCTGAGACAAGAGCTATGTGCCCGTGCACTCTCTCTAAATACCTTATTGCACCGTGCTCGCCCTTGTGATGAAGAAGGGAGGGAACGGGGTGGCACAATATGTCATCACAATAGGAACAGTGTGCAACTTAAAACTTACGAACTTAGGCCGGGCGCGGTGGCTCAAGCCTGTAATCCCAGCACTTTGGGAGGCCGAGGCGGGTGGATCACGAGGTCAAGAGATCGAGACCATCCTGGTCAACATGGTGAAACCCCGTCTCTACCAA